TGTGTGTGTGTGTGTGTGTGTGTGTGTGGGTGTGGGTGTGTGTGTGTGTGTGTTGGGGGACTCCTTGGTGGGCCAGATGGAGGTCACCTGCAGGCTGGGTGTGGCCCGCGGGCCACCAGTTGAATAGCCCTGACATATTTTATTAAAAGACCGAGTTGAGTCCAAAGCGTTGATGATAAAATTTGAGCAAAACTCTTGTTTGATTTGTCACTGCTCAACATAAGTGCTGAGGATCAGTCTCAGCTACTACCACATGAACCTTTACCTCAACATCTGTAAAACTGGCTGAGTTAGGGCCATTTTTATGATTCTAAGTAGGGATGAACGATATATCGGTATTAATATTGATATCGGTCTGATATGTAAAAATGAGCCGAAATGAACATTCGATATTGATTTCCCACTTTTTATCTTTGTGTTTTGGGAGGTGAGCTGGTTTGTTGAGCTGCATCTGTTTCATCATGATAGTGATGTTGATGCTGCAGCCAGGAATAACTAAGTAGAGTCACGTCAGAGGTCTGGTTGTTTATTTATGGTATCAAAAAAACACCAAAGTGTGTTTGTGTGTATATGTGTAATATTATTTGTGTTTGTGTAATATTGATAAATATCGGTTATCGGCCATAACAGCAATAATTATATCGGATATCGATATCGGCGGTGCATCCCTAATTCTAAGGTTAGTTGGGTTTGGCAGCTATCTTGACTTTGGTTGACTCCAAAGGTTTATTTTTATTTATTTATTTTTATTATTAGAACTTTATTAGGAACAAACAGTCGACAATCTCAACGACAAAACTACCAAGTATAATGTACTTGTTAATATAAAGAACCACTCATATCTCCAAAATACAATAAATTTTGCAGATTAACATTTCGGGTGAAAAAAATAACATTTTAATTTTTTTCTTTTCAAACAGCTATAAAACAAAAATTTAAAAATAAAATAAAATAATAAATAACAGAAAATATATAATTACTCATAACAAAACAGGACTCTGATATCTGAGAGAGGTGATAAAACAGTTGTTTGTGTTTTTTTAGCTTTGTCGAAGGAAAACTGTAGGAGAAGGATGTCTTGTAAAAAATATAGACCATAATGGCTTAGATTTCCCATATCTGCATTTGTGTATATAACATTTTAACATTAAAATATTATTAATTAGGTATTGATCATTTTCATTATTAGATACATACCCATATAAAACATTTTTGGGGAGACGAGGAGTCTGTTGTGGAAATTTTGTGATCAGGAGGTCATGAAGAGATATCTGAGGTGTTACTGGTTGACATAAAATAAACAGATGCTCTGTTGTTTCAGGTTATGTATAACAGTTACTGCATTCAATTTTAAGTCTATATTGTATAAATTTGTTTGAAGGATATATACTGTATAATTTAGAGTTTTGTAATGTATTTCTTTGTATTTTGGTGATGGAGGAAACCTCATACAGTTTGATATTAATTTTATTTGATCTTTCTTTTTATAAATTTCCTTTTTATCAGACCAGGATACATTGTTTTTGTCAAGTGTTGTCTTAAAAGTTTATTGTTACATTTGTTATGTAGTAAATCTAACCCATTATTGTTGATAATGTGTAATCTCACTATTGGTTTGGTTTCATAATTATTCTTTATAAGTTGTACAAATGTTTTTGGAATTTTCTTAATTATTTTGTCATAATCTTTTTTTTTACAAATTATATTGTGTTTATTATGAAAGTGACTCCAAAAGTGTATTAATACATGTACATCCAGTGACGTCTATCTGAAAATTTCATTACAATTTGAAATATCTGTAACAAACACACACAGACTCCGCCCCCGCAGGTGATAATTAACAAAGAGCAGGAAGTATAACGTCAGTATTATAACCTCAGGAAGCATCTCTTCATCCTTTTCTCATCGTTCTCAGGCTCCCGGTGCTAAAAAGAGTAAAAAAGGCACCAATAAGATCGTGTCTCCCTCGCTCAGTCAACCAGCAGTTGAAACCAACACAGGAGACATGGAGACTTGTCCACACCTCGTCCCTCACATCGTCCTGAATGTAACCAGCAGCTTCTCAGAGCTGCTGAGCTCCCTGCCTCCTCTGGAGGAGGTATGTCACCGTCCCAGACCTCCCTTCTTATTCCATTCTTTTTATTATTATTCCTGCTACATTGGTTAAAGATCATGTCATTCACGAGCCCCTCTGTCTGCTTTACTTCCTGTAGGTTTTGGATAACTCCAGCGAGCCACCAGTCCTTCCCCCGACCACCTTCTCTGTTGTTCCTTTCCCAAAACTCAGAGAACCAGCTCAGCTTCAGCAGACCTGTTTCACCTTCCTGGATCCGTCAGCGCTCAGAGAGGAAGAGGAGAAAGAGGCTGAGGAGGAAATTCTTACAAAGGTAATGTTAGTGTTAGAGGGTCCTCAGTACCCAGGACCCATCTGAACAGCTGACATGAGACGGTTAAAAACCGGTTAAAAACACTAAAGTTCATGTGACATGAATATCCTTCAAATACAAAAAGTCAAAGAAAACATCTTTATATTTAAGAAAATAATAACACACAATTTTACCCTTTTGGTCTCATAACCGGCCTATTGTATTTTGAGTTTGGCTCAGCCAAAGTGAAACAGGAAGTGACATCAAAGGGGAACTCATTAATAAAATAAACTCTGGTCTTTGTTTATTGAAACATATTATTTCAACTTTAACTCTTCATCTCTCTTTGATAGTGACTCAAAATAATGTAAAGAAACATCAGATTTTTCTCTACAGTCTGTGTTGTAACAACGCTCTGTTTACACAGACATTCCCCTCTGACATCACTTCCTGTTACTGAACAGGCAAATATCTCAACAACTGTTCATCTCAGTGGTGTCAAATTTGTTTTGTAACGTGTCATTAATGTTGTCTTTCCAAAAATACTTCATATTTATTACAAAAGTCTGATGTCACAGGCACTTTAACGCTCCTGTTGTTATGGACAATAAGATGATAATTTAGTTATAATTAGTTAACACCATCTGATTACTACATTTGTTAAATTATCTATTGACCAAAAATTATTTTTGGCAATTAATAAATATAGGGTAATGTACATAAAATTTACTAAATAAATAAATAAATAAATAAATAAATAAAGTAAAAAAAGGAATCAGCTGGTTAAAGTGCCAAATAAATAAGGATGTATTAATCAAATACAAAAAACATTCATAAGAATCTATTC